GTTAACCAGACATTGAGTAACCGGCCCTTAGTACTACTAATTTCGACGTATGAAGTTCGATTAGTAAGGTAAGACCTTAACCAAAGGAGGAAATTTGAGTGGGAACCTAACTTTTCCAGTTTTAACAACAATATACTATGCGAAGCAGTATCGAAAGCGTTTGTAAAATCTGTGTAGACAACATCTACTAGATAACCGGTTTTAAATGAAGTAATCCATAATTGGGAGAATTCAGCCAAGTTAGTGACTGTAGAACGCCCACACACAAAACCGTGTTGATGGGGATCATGTAATTCCTTCAGAAAGAAGTACGTTTTATCTTTCACCACTTTTTCGAAAAGTTTTGACTAAGTGGTGAGTTTAGATATAGGTCTATAATTTCATGCATCATTCCAGTTACCAGGTTTGAAGATCGGAAAAATAAAAGCAACCTTCCAACTGTCAATAAAATCGCCAGTGCCGAGGGAGAGATTAAATATAAATTTTAAGGGCACACAAAATGAAACACTGCATTTCTTAAGTAGAAATGAAGAGAGCCTATCTAAATCACTTTTTATTGAGGACTTTAAGGAAGAGATGCCATTAATAACATCCAAATTAGACACAGAAAATAATGCAAAATCTAGAGCAGGGGAAGAGTCATGACAACTGGTGTTAACAGCTATTGTATTATCTTGGACGAAGTTTGACTTAAAGAAATCAGCAAAGAGATTTACGGTGTCCGATAAACACAGAGAATGCAGTTTTGTGTAAGTAATATACCAGTTATTAAAAAAAGGTTATAAGCTATCTTGAAATAATTACGAATAAAAAAGGTTAAAGAATCTAAAGAATAAATTCTTGAAATAGCTCAAGAAAAGGGGAAACCACATCTTCTTTTCTCATTATCAAAAACATCTAAAGAAATGTTATTGTTTTCCTTTATACAAATTATGTACATACTTAATGTTGAATCAAATATAAAATCTAATCCGAAGACTGTTTGGCAGTTTATTTAGTCGAAGAAATCGAGTTCCGGCATACCTTCAGCTGTTTTAATTGATAACAAATTTGCTCGATGTCCAGTTGATGAGGCATGTCTATTTGCGTAATTCTTCAGCTCTAACTTTAGTCCTTGACGACGCATCCCAACCAGATTGTGATTTTGCGGCGAGTTCTTCTCTTAGTTTTGGGTCATTAAGCTCGTCATCTAACGACGTTACGAGTGGCATTTCCAAACTGAAAACTGTCTGTTAAAACTGACATTGATGGTTTGGCAGGTGTATTATTGAGAAACTGTCCCTCTTTAGTTTTCCCATTGAAACTGATTTTTAATACATCATGTTATGGTCGTACTGCGGTGTAGTCTAGGAAGCTCTTCTCAGAAAATCAAAACTGCCCATGTTATCCCCGTGTTCACCTTGCTCTATATCCAGCCCGGAGTTTCAGCCATTGCCGTGAGTTTAAAAATGAAGGATAACACTAGGGAAGCCCTACACCTGCAGGCCACAAAAAAAAACTTTATGTGCACACTTGGAGACAGACATAGCCAATAATATAATAATAAATTTAATTACAACAACAACACGTTAAGTGAATCACTCCTCCCGTTTACAGTCTTAGCTGTTTTAGCTGATGATTGGCATTCAAT